CTGCTCACATGAAGCCACATACACACATATCGTAAGAAAAAATTATAGCGAGAGTATTGGAAGAGATTCTAGAAAGTCCCATTCAGCTTTGAATTTCAAAACATAAAATACTGACCAGTCCATGACTTTGAGAAATCAGCTGCTTTTAGATGTCTTCTAAGCCTTGATATTTCTTTTTAAAGTTCATCTTCTGATAACTCATCATTGAAAGAAGTTAATTTTGGAACGGATACCAATAAATCTTCTTCACTTGCTGATACTAGACTCTTGGGCTGAACAGACCCAAACATATTTGGTATTTCCTTGATCACTGATGATCTGATGTGGAGTTCAGAATGAAAGCGATCAATACACTCCAGCATCTCCCTACTGTTTTCTTCTCGCAGATGGAGTCCAGCATCTACTAATTGTTATCCTGTCATTCTCTTCTTAAACCTTAATCTTTTCTCTACCAAAAGTCCATATTGGTCTGATTTTAAAAGTTCCTTTTCAATAGCATCCTCCACCAAGTGACGGCGCTCCTCGTGCAGAAACAATCTTGATGCCTCTAGGTTTGTCATCACTTTGTCAAGAGTAATCCCTTAAATCTGCAGATACTGCGTAAGATTAACTTCCTCAAGTAGATCAGCCCAAAGTTAAAGGTAGCAGATAAACGTGAAATCACAGACAACATGTAAAAGATCTTGTGCTTAACCTCTTGTATGCAAATTTTTACAAGGTGATGACATTCGATTATTGGATGCAGCAAAGAAGGAAAATGTTCTTTCAAGAGTACCGAATAATGTAATACATGAAGCATTATCTGCAAAAGAGTGTTGACCACACAAGTGAATGGCCCACACATCCTTTAAAAATTGCTTTCTTATTATTTCTTTTCCGAATGGCTTGAACACCTCCATGGATTCCACTCATTAGGGCAGCATTATCGTAACCCTGAGCTCTGAACATCAGTATGTCTAGTCCATCACGCTTTAGTTTGTAAGAATGTCAGAACTGAGGTCATCAGCTTTTTTTCAATCTTAACGTGAAAAATACAAGGAACATTCCTCTCTTTTCAACTGTCCCATTGTGGATTATCACATATCTGATCACTACAAACATCTGGTAACTGTGTGATATATCAGGTTTACTTT